GAAAAATCTGCTCAAGAAATACTGAGCAAGACAAAAACAAAAACAGCACGCATACAAAAAAACACTGCTTAAGAACACTGGACGCAATCGGGAGTGAAAAGGAACGAATTTGAGTAGCACACAGCAAAATCTCCAGTGTAGTGTCTATATGGGTCCACACCTCTGAGTGTTAAATACAACACTGTTGAGTGTTAAATTAACACTTTTGACAGTGTTATATGTTTAAAAGTAACCTAGTCAGTTTTGAAGATCAACAATGGCTAACACTGAGCAGTGCTGATTTTCTAACACTGGAAAATAACAAAATGTTAGAAATAATCCAGTGTTAGAAGATCAGCACTGCTCAGTGTTAGTCTTTGTTAATCTTCAAAAGGTGTGGACCCATATAGACACTATCAACATGTATTTACATCTATGTTTTTTCTCACGCTAGTAGCATTGACAGCATTTTTACTAGATTACATTACAGTGTACAGGGGTTCCCATTATTTGGTCCAACCACTGTATTTGCATGAATCCAATACACCTTTTAGTGTCTTCAGCTCCCAGGGTATCCCCCTCAAAAAGCTTTTTTGTTTGTTTATAAAGCCTTCTGAGTAACTGGAAATCTATGACGATATTTACATCTGGGGGATGAACAGTCACTACATGATCTAGTCAAAAATGGTAAAAACTCAGAAAAGGAACTAAATCCCATTTGGAAGCATCAGTTTGCAGCACCAGCTGCAGCTTCATCCTTCTGCCCTTCCTCTGATTCTTGCGCCGTCTTTTTGAAGAACCGTTCAGCTCGTAGCTCCTCAAAGCAGAACTCAGCAGCACCATTTAGCAGCAGCTCTTTACAGTACATGCTCTGCTCCTGTTGTTTTCCCGATTCTGCCTCCTTCTGCTGCTGCTGATGGTCCTGAAGCCTTTTGAGAGGAGTCTCCTCTCTGCCCGGCTTACGCGCTGACAAAACTGTGTTAACTGCTGGGTTGATCTTACATGGAGTCCTGACGGAGGGACAGAACAATCCACTTACATTCAGCTTAGGAAGACACTAATCAACATGTGATGTGAATATAATATTTAGCAGATAAAGCAATGACATAAAATGTCAGATAAAAACTGGACCTTTTTCTGAGATATGCTACTAAAAATGTGAAGAATACTGGAAATACTTTTTCCCTCAACTGCAAGTATATATGGTAGTCTATTCATGTCTGTAGGTGCAATCAGCCTCCAGAAAACTGCACCCAGACTGAACAAGCTAATGATTTGATAACTGAGATGACGGAGGATTTTTTTAAAAATTCATTTATTTGGGCTTTTCAATTAAATGTGCGTATACAGCCACAGATCTTGGTACTCAGGCATTTCTGTTGAACCTTTAATGCTCCTGCCTGTTGTCTCTTTGTCTGTTCCCCCCTGGTCAAAATAATGAGTAAAATTAAAAATGAATGAATAAAAAAATGAAGGTTTTTATAGTAACTCACATTGTAGGAGGCTGATCCGACTCCTCCACAAACGGTTGGAAAGTGAGTTTGGGAGGCGGTGGCGCCATAACAGTATGTCCAAATTTGGACTTTTGGGGCATCTATGACGACATAAAAAGAAAGTTATGAATCAACTTTGCATAATGGCTTTCAACACACACAACAATGAGCCTGTTCTCCCATACCTTCACATCACACCATCGCTCAGGCTTCTGCTCATTCTCCTTCGCCCTAGATGTGGGAGGAGCCACCCAAGCTTCCAATCTAGGCTCCGATGGGCCTGCGCTCTGAGCCTTATTCTCGTCAAAGATGACCAACCGACTGTTACTGCCAAGAACAGGGGCGCCTTGTGACTTCAGGCCACCGGGAATACCTGAATACAAACTCATTATGTTTTTCCCAGTCTTAAAGTACTGTTATCATCAATTTAGTATTTTGAAACACATTTTATTTGTATACTCATGTGCTTACTTCTGATTCCGGCCCCTGTTCTGTTGATGGGGGCGACAGCCTTTTTCTTCCCTCTGTGTTTCAGATCAGCTAGAGAAACTCTCTCGAGTTGCTTAGGCTCATCATCACTGTCTTCCTCCTCCACATTCATCATCACCTGCCGGGAAACGCGTGCCTGCAGTGCCCTGCGAATATAAATACAGAAAAATGTGATCACTGTAACAACATAACAGAGATGTTCACTTATCAGAAACTATACTGGATGCCTCCATACTTGTGAAACTGTAGGAGTTTATCATGTGGGTCAGCACTCTTTCTGAACCCCTCTTGGTAGACCAAGTCTGCTTTGCGGAAATTGCCCTGATCCTCATACTCCTCTGACCAAGCAATGTAGAGGGAAGCTTGTGTTACTCCAATTCCCTGTGCTTGCATGTATCTGTAAATTTCCAAAGGCTCTTGGCAGTTCTTCGCCTGGTGACATGTAATGAAAAGTTATAAATGCAGCATTAGTTTGTCAAAGTAACAGAAATAGTCAGAGGTTATGCTTTTGCACTCACAAATTTGATCCAGAGGTCAACATAGCGGGGGTCATTGTGATAATGTTTCTCCTCTGTAAATCTGGTCACGACCCGTTCCAGCAGTGTGGTGAGGTTGCTCTCTTTTCCACCCTGGGGGAAGGTTTGTTCTGTCCACTTAATATACCTGGAAAAATAAAACCGTGTTAGGATTACAGGGAAATTTAAGAGCAATGTTTATGAGCACACTTGGCTATTGACATATTTCCCTTACCGATCCCAAACACTAAGTGGATCATCGCCCTCGTATGTGCGCAACTCGGACTCAAATGCCCTGCAGAAATAAATATACACAAGGTCTTTTTTCATCATATAAAAAAATGCATGGACAAAATGTACAACAGAAATCTCTGTCACCTAATTTAAGTTTAAAATAGCCATCCATACTGTCGCTGCTGGTTGATTGCAGAGGTGGGTCCATCTTGTTGTTGACTCAGCGCCTGATGTAAGGCCGATATGGCTCTTCCCCGCCTCAAAGGCTGGATGTTTTCTTTGCTGAGCTCCCATTCCACATCTCCTCCTTCTGCCATTTCTGAGACAGAAACTAGATACATACAGCAGGAGAATTAATTACTTGATATTTATCCCCGGCTGAATTTGTAATTAAAAATTAACCAGAACCCCAGAAAAAAAAAAAGCTGCATGACAGTTTTAAATGGATTTGTTATTTGTTATTGAGTGAAATAAGTACTTGATCCCCTACAAACAGCCAGAAATCTGGCTCCCACTGATTGGCAAATTTAAAAAAAAAAATCAATCAATTACAGATACCCTTATCTCAACTTGTTATGTGTATAAAGCACACATGCCCACAGAATCAGTCCTGGATCAAAACCATTATTTCGCCCTCTGTATACACATTTTAATTCAGTTGCTTGGAGTTTTTAAGTTGTCCTATTTTTAAATTTCTGATCTGTAATCTAACTTCAATAAGAAATCACCTTATAGGCAAATCAATAGAACAATAAAAATTAAACGTAACCCTTTAATGCCTCATATTTGACACAAGAATTTTTGAGACTACTACATCATCAGTGTGTCCGCCCCACAAACAAACAAAACGGCCCAGAGATGTGAAATTTATATTCTAGATTGTTGGTCAGAAAGACACCATACTGTCACAAAATGAATAACGGAATCATTTTGAAGTTGTATAATGGTTTTAAAGGAAGATTTTCTGAGGTGACCTTCATAGTTTTAGCTATGCTTTAAAAATTTACCACAATCCTGTTGTTTCTCATTTTTACCCAAGTTTGACTGGATAAGTCTTGACTCGGATCATAACTTGAGGGCTGTGCTGGGTGTGCCACTACATCATCCTTTTTATAACTCAAAAATGTTGCTAGAATGCAACCTTTTATCTTGGTGACCCTGACAAACCAATTCTATATACATAGCAGGCAGGACTACTTTAAGGCTCTGCTATCTAATCTACCTAAAATCTACTTGAGTTGATTCAGATCTCTGCTGCCAGACTTCTTACTACGACTAAAAGGAGAGAGTACATCACACCTGTTGACTTTAAAATCCTTTTATTTAAATCCTCTAGCTGTTGCAAAGTGCAAGACAAAACCTCTGGGGAGGTAGCTTTTTCAGTGTTATGCTTCAAGCTGCTGGAACAGCCTGCCAGAGGACCTGGCTGTGTTGAAATCTTTAAACTTAACAGCCCCCTCCAAAGCCTGAGTGTGACTGAATATTCTTTACAGACAGCACTTGTTTTAATTTCATATAACTTCTTTGCTTTAAGTAATATGTAGTTTCATTCAGTTTTTATTTTATTTTTCACTGGTCAAGTCTGTTACTTTTTATTTCATTTGATGCACTTTTGTTGTAGTTGTATTTAATTTTAAATAACTTTTTTGATGTTCTGACTTTGTTATACACTAACGTGAAATGTGATATACACAAAGCTTATTATTATCTCTGTATAGCCAAAAGTAATCTATTACTGTACTGACACTGTCATTATAATTGTTTATTTCGGGCTTAATTAGTTCTTTTGTGTGAGAACTAAATAGCATGATGTCCAGGAGGCATACTGAACAAGTTTCAGGACAACATGAGCTAACGATGCACTTCAACAACAACACATTTTAAATAATTATGTGGTAAACTTCCATCGTATTACAAACCGTGTGACACGTACACAAAATAATGTTTAGCTATCAACACTCTCCCTGCGTTCCTGTTAACGTTAGGAAGTGCATGTGTTTGGAGCTAACACACTAGCTAGCGAACGATAGCTTTAGCCTGACCAACTTTAGCGTTTTTTCCATCGACGACAAATTTACATAACTGAATTAAAATAGACTTTCTGCAAAATGTGCGTGTTCTATACCGCTTCCGAGCCTCCTTTATTTCTTTTCTAGGTGACAGCTCGAACTCCAACGTTGTCGCAGTAAAGCTGTTGAACGGTTGTGTCTGTATTTTGAACAAGAGCCGCCAGAGATTTAGCAGGACTCTGATTGGACGGAAAACCGGAAAATGCGTTTACATTACGTCATACCTCCTCTTCCGCGTTGCTTCCTGTTTTGAATGAACACCTGAAAATAGTTGCTAGTAGCTAGCTGCCAAATTAATGCTCACGACTGAGTGTGTTTTCTTAGACATTTTAACGCACTGTAGCTGTATCGATAGCATTAACATCCCCCTACCCATGAGCCTCTGCATGTGTCGATATGGACAGTCGATGTTATTGTTGTGCATCCAAGTTTAGCCTCTTCAAGAAGGAGGTGAGTATTTCACGGCTAATGCTAACCACATAGACATACATAGAGGTACATTTTGAATAAAGTGATCTATTTACTGTTCGTCATAGCTGGGCTGTAAGAACTGCGGCCGTTCCTTCTGCTCCAGCTGCTTGACTTTCAGTGCTGTGGTGCCTCGCTGTGGCAACACCCAGCAGAAGGTCTGTAAACAGTGCCATGGTAATCTGACCAGGTAACGCTCAAACCCTGCAAGGAAGAAAAAAAACCCCTAAAAGTAGTTTTGTTTGGACTTTGGAGCTTCTCTCTCATTTTAATTTCTTTCTTTTTAGTGGGCCATCTTCAACCAGTGCTGGCAGATGGTCTCCTCCAGAAAACTATAAAAAGTCAGTGTATACGATCAAATAAGGGAATAACTTAAACTTTGGCAGCACAGCGGTTTCATAACATCTAAAGTACACGTGTCTTCCATTAGACGGGTCGCTGCACTTGAGGCCAAACAGCAAGGACAGCCAACACAGCCTGTGAGGACCAGCAAAGCAGGACATCCACCAACCAGCGGCCTGAGCAAAGAAGATCAGGCAATTGCTGAAAGGCTTCAAAAGCTCAAGGAGGACACAGCACCTAGTAATAAGATTTTTAGCAGCTCTCATTTTTATTTAATCCAGCAAGTGCAGTAATATTATAATATTTTCCAAAACAAGGTAAGGAGTAAGCTTTTTGCCTTCTCTTCAGGGTCTGTCCCCTCTGACAAAGAGCTCGAGTCCCGACTTGCTGCTCTGAAAGCTCCCAGCAAGCCAGTACCTTCTGCACAGGAGATGGAGGACCGTCTGGCCACTCTGCGGGGTCTCCCTCCACCATCTCAAGCTCCTCGACCTGTGAGCTGAATCTCTTCCTGCTTGTTTGTAACATCTTAGGCCTTACAGTACAGCTCAGTAGCTCAATAGCTTCAAATATTTATTTAGAGGGAACTCAATACTAAACAGTGTCCCTTAACTCCAAGTATATATGCTTGTCTATTCATGTCTGTAGGTGCATCAGCCTCCAGAAAACCGGACCCAGACTGAACAAGCCAATGATTTGATAAGTCAGATGACAGAGGAAGTTGCAATTGACAACCAACAATCAAATCCTGAATGCAGTAAGATATTGCATTTCTCCCTGATTTTACCTGCCTTAAACCAATAAGTAATGAGTCAGTCATAACATTCATTCTTATATCGTAAAATTAATAAACAGGTACTGAACAACACTGTTATTAAATCTGAAGGTGTAGATGGCCGCATGAATGATCTCAATAAAGGTGAAGCAGGTACATTGGATGAGAATTTGGAAGAGAACCAGGATGCAGCCAAGCAGCTGGAGGCTGAGAAAGCCCATCTGCTCGAGGAAGCTATGGAGGAGCTGAGGAAAGAAAGTCACTCTCAAGATCAGATCCTGCACATGGCAAAGAGGCTGGCACAGCTGAAGGGGCAGGACCCGGACAAAGGTGAGTTATTCGAGCACCATTCACCTCACCTTATCTGTTATCCACGCACTAGTGTGTCATAAAATATGATAAGGACGTGCGTTGTAAATGCAGTTTCCATGACAGAAGTCCTAGCATGCTAGTGTATCATGCCCCATTTTCATTGTGATTCATTTATAGTTACTATGGAGGACTTCCAGCAACCTGACAGTGAAGAGGAGACTGAAGAAGAAGCTGTTATGAGAGTGTTAAAACAGGTGTGGCAAAAATAACCATGAGATGATAATGAACTATAAATAATTTGTTTCTGCGTACATCTTACACCCCTAAAGGTGCAAGTGAACTAATTCAGACCAGTGTGCCTAGCCACAAGGGGCTGCTATTCTGCCAGTTTAATCACTTCTTATTTTTTCTTGTATGCTTTCAGCTCTCAGAAGAAGCTACACTAGATGAAGCCAGTGGCTACAACATACCTTTAGAACAGAGTGGGCCAAGGAATAGGGAAAATAAAAAATCGTCCAAGAAACCGGTACAAAACCACGCTTGAATTATTTCTTTATTTTAAAGCTACGTGAGTGCATAAAATTTAAATCCCGATCTGATTTTATTTTAAAGGCTCCGCCTCCGGCACCTAAGAGCAGGAACCTACCTGCTGCCGATGCACATCAGCCGTCAGACAGTGACGAAGAAGAGCTTCCGTGGTGCTGCATCTGTAACCAAGATGCCAGCCTTCGATGTCACACCTGTGATGGAGATCTGTACTGCAACCGCTGCTTCAGGTAGTATGAAATGCATTAATTATAGAAAGAAAGGAAAAAAAGCCTAACTTTAGACTCATGATAGACTTTTGCATGGAAGCCTTGACTGCACACAAAAAAACAAGATCTCTGTGATTTGGAATGCATACCATGACCCAGATAAATTGCAGGCAAGCTGCTGCCCTACTGTTAAGCAGCATGAATATAAAGTATTTAGTCTGATGAATTATCAATCCATGCTTCATTATGTCCCCAGGGAAGGCCATGATAAATATGATAGGAAGGAGCATCGCACCACTAACTACACTGCGCCAAAGAAGAAGAGGGAGACATGATAGTGAAGCTAAGCTGCAGGTGATTGGTAGAGTTAGGCCAGCCATCACACTTAGACTTGTTCATTAGCCTTAAGTGACTTACTATTGTTAGAAAACAGTCTCTCTAATCATCTAAAACAAGCCACAAACCATCAGAACTCCTCAACATATTTTATTCAGTAAATGCTAAGGCTGAACTAATTGAATGAAGCATAATAAGAAACCACTGGTAATATTTCTTGCAAAGCACGGGTTAGATAAGGACCATAAACACAATGTAAATGCATTATAATATGTATAATATCTTAAATATAGTTTATTTTTTGTGGAATGTATAAAAATAGACGTATGTAATATTTGTGAAGGTATTGCAGCAAACCTGCACGGCCGCTTCACATAGGAATCCCAAAAATTCATATGGTTGATCTGAATAAGAAGTATTGGGTTTATTTTTATTGTGACTTGTCCTACTTCCTAATGGCAACAAAGGCTTATTTAAAGTGCTCTTTTGCACTTGTCATCATATGATGATTTCCAAGTTTTTATAACCCATACAGAAAGCAGACACGTCGTGAGCTCATCTGGGATGATGTACAATCCCAGACTGCTGTCAGCTCTGCACCGAAGAAGCACAGAGGAGTCAGTATAAAAGGATTACTAAGGGCTTTGTTTTCTTTTGGCAGTCACTGCAGTCGCTCTTGTAATCTGTGTTCGGCTGGGTGTGTAATTTCGTTATAAATAAAGGATAAGTGTTAGCAACTATGTCACGTCGTTGAGAGCATGCAGCATACCTTAGTCTTAATTTAAACATTAAAGCCTTATTTTTTTTCCTTTTTAGATCCAACGTATTATTACTTGATAAAAATATCTCAGTCTGTCAGGCCTTGTAAGGAGTGCAGTTCTTATAGTATACATGCCTTTGTCAGAGAAGTTGAGGAGAACCATATAAATTTCTATAGTGGAGACCTCACCCGAAAGACCCTCTGTGTTTGACAGAGAGAAGGCCAGAGTGCAGGCTCATCAGCGTGCATTACTGTCTGGCTGAGGAGAAACCATAATTACACTCTTCTCTTGGGGTTTGCTCCATTAAGGTTCATATGGAAAGTGTTACTGTGCCTTTTCTGGCCGTGTCATACACATACCCCAGACGGGAAATGGACGAGGATAATGGATGCATACTTAATGGAACATCTTGTTGCTGATCTCCGTGTGTTTACACCTACTCTTGACATGTCAAAGTTTCCTTTGTTTCCATCAATCTGTTGAAAATGCCTGAAAACACGACTTTATGTTTTGGGAATAAAATGCTGACTGCCGTTCTGTAGGAAAGTTGTCTGTAGACTGTAGGGCAAAATCATTATCTGTGTTTCTGAGCAGTTATGAGCTCAGGGTAGTTTAACTGGTACTGTAAACCAATTAGTGCAATGTACACGCCACTATTTATTTGAATGAGTGGAAATGATAATACCTGATGAAGCATATTGGTGTATCACTTTGTTAAAAATCAGATGTGAGCATTGTCTTGAAAATGTTGAAATGTTTTTATTTTCTTTTTTTACGTTTTGACAACACTGTTATCTGAACAAAAATATTTATGTACATAAATAAGCAACTAAAAATGTACAGTCATACACAAGAAACAGTCCGTCTGAGTAATAGTCAGTACAGCTTGTATCACGTGTACGTTATTGGTATGGTATTGGGAAACAAAATGTTGAAGCAGTCTATAAATGAATTTGAAATAACAACATTAAAAAAAAAATCAATTCAAAGCCCCACAGCTCTGGTGTTACATTGATGATGACCCAGCAGGAGGAGGCAGGGGGCAGGAATATAGTCCCTCTGATCCACACCTACAGGCATCCAAATGGTTAATGCGTGGGGGGACGGGAAGATGAGCGGCTCCACGTTGTCTCCATTCTTAATTTGACCTACAATTATTTCTTCAGTGGACCTGACATTTTACGTAGACCCTTTATCCTGTAGAGCAGCCCGTTGATAAAATCCTGTGGAGCAGATGGGGAAATTTTATTTAATTTTTTATGTAACTTTAAAACAATAAGTAGACTTATTATTTCAGTCCTCTTTTCTAAGTTTTTGTCTCACCTCTTTTGGCTTCCCGCATTCTTGCAACAACTCCTAGTGAACAAACAGAAAGAGGTATACACTTTTCCATTGTTTTTTCTTTGAATACATAGCACAACAGGATTTCATTATGAGTCAGTTTCTTCTTAAGGACAACCAAATACAAATATGTACATTAGTGCTGACAGCGAGGGGCTTCACTGCCGTGCTGCCCTCACATGGGGCGATCCGGAGATTTGCCGCGTTAATGCTGTTATGGCGCTAACGTCATTTTAACGAGATTAACGCTGACCGCACTAATATACATATGTAATTTAGGGGAACTAGTTGCAGATACACTCAACAATAATAAATGACTGACAAGTCATTAACAAGCAATTGGGATGTTTAATCAGATCAGTATTTAGGCTATTCTACAGAATCCTACCTCCAGCCGGGTTCTTTGCCCCTCATCCGACAGCTCCAGGAGCTCGTCTATGTCGATTTCTAACTCTGGGATCTCTTCTTCCTGTGAGAGTGGAGAGGAATAAAAGTTAAAGACCATATTCATTGAGACTTGTGTTTCTGCATGCCTCACAAACTCCTACAAATTGGATTGTATAATGTGGGCTTCTTGGCTTTTTATCCCTCCTCATCTTTCCAGCCAACTAAGCGTAGTCATTCAGACAGAAGACTAAGGCTTACGTTTTCAGTTCAATTCCATTTTAGTTATATAGCACCAAATAACAACGAAAATCGCATCAAGGCACTTTAGAGAGAAAACCAATCAGATATTCCAACCCGATGAGCAAGCACTTGGTGACAGTGGGAAAGAAAAACTCCCTTTTTACAGGAAGAAACCTCTGGCAGAACCAGGCTCAGGGATGGGCAGCCATCTGACGACTGGTTGGGGGTGAGGGGAGGAACATGGGACAAATTTATTAGTTATGTTGGTGTGGGTTTACTGTAGAGGATAAAAAATTGATTGACTTGATGGGAAAAGCTGCAGTGGGCTGATGGATGAAGACAGAAAGGCTGTATGAGGATTCAGGATTCAGATTTTATGGATGGTTCAGCCAGCTGGCATTCCCAGCTCCGCCACTTTTTTTTACATATTAATCTCTGATGCACGTCACATGTTTTTAATACTGCACACCTGGAAAACAAAAAACAACACTAACCCACGAGCGCTCCCAACTGCAATGTAACGACCTATAGATTGCATCATTTTTAAAGATTAGCAGCAATTATATGTGAAGACTGTAAAACATAGCACTCTCCACTCTCAAGGCCAAATATAGCAAAGCAATCACTTCATGTAACAAGCTCTGAACACCTTTCAGGGAGAATGAGGAGTGCTCACTGGAGGAACTCGAAGATATCTGGAGTCAGCAGGTGCATGCTCATATTTGACGAGTGTGGTCTCTTTTTTTTATTAGGAGGAATATTTTCTGGTTTGGGAGCTTTCATGACATGAAAGGACGGGGCTCACACAGCTTTCTAGATGTGGAGAGAGCTAATCAATGCGGAAGTGCTGAGTGGCAGAATAGATGGGCCCCCGTGCCTGCCTCTAATTGATACACACTGCCAATTTGGACCCTGTGTAATTCTGCTGATGTCTGCAGGATAAATGCAGTGCCGAAGGTTTTTTTATTATTATTATTATATCTAAGCTGTGCATTTATGGACTTTGCTTTACCAACTGTACTGCGGTTGGTCTTTTTGTACTTGACCTGGTTCAAAAGTGCTGATAGTGTAATCCTGAAAAACTTCAACAAAGCATCTTAATGACTAAAAGAAAAAAGCAGTGAATACGTTTATTATTATACTTGTATTTATTAAAATGGATTGGGGTTTTGTAGAATTGTGTTCAGTATGCATTCCAAACAGTGCTAAGATTACCTATGACATGACTGAAGAGGTTTAATTTTCACCATTTAGAGCCATTCAGTGGCTCTACTATAATTGTATGAGAATAGAAATGTGTATAAGTATACTTCATGTCCAGTGAAAAGGAAACCTCTCTAATGTACTTATACTGCTCTTAAACTTCCTCAGTCTGCCTCTGAAAGTGAGGCAATGCAGAGCACTGCTGAATATCAATGAGCGACGGCTTCCCCTTGCTGGGAGGAACACATGCGTTTATCACGAAGACTCACAATCTGATCCTCATTCTAACTTCCCAGTATTTCTTGCCGGGATTTACCTTCATTGTGAGAGGGAAAGGGCCTTTTAACGAGGCCTCTGGGTGGAAACCATCTCAGCAGCACTTTTTGAAGTTAAAAAGCAATATACTAAAGCTAAAACCAATGTTGGCACTAATGCTGAAATTCATGAATATCAAAGTGGCTCTCAGAGGACTGAAGCTTCAGATGGTAGTAGTGCAAATATGTTGCGAAGATAAGACAACTTCCACCGGAATTTTACAATTTTTACATTTCACCATTATCGGGAGTTGACCTAAAACTCTCTCAACAAGCACTCCTGAGCTGCAGTGATGGGAAACTGTCCACATATAGAACAGTAGCTACTATGTGCAGAGTGTTTGCCATTAGCTTTGGATGTGATATTCTCACTGCTTAAATCAAGAGAGGGTGTCTGAGCCAATAAAATTGTTGTGTAATATGTTGACATTTGATATCCCAAGGGAATAATGACTTTGGTGACCTTTGACCTGTTAACTGAGCAATCAATATCACTCCTTGACATTTATTAAGTACCAGACAGGAAATTCAAGCTATGTCTGATTTTTTATTCAGCTTCAATTTGGATATTTACTGATATTAAGAAGAGCATTACCACTTTTGCATAGCTCTAATAATCAGCTGGTGAATAATAAGCAAACTAAACTTTGCTTATTGCTGTGACCACTGAACACTTAGATTTGATGATGCTGTATTATTCTTTGCTAAGCAGCAGCAGGGATTAGACAGGAAGGGTTTGCTATTTTCACTAACACTTCACTATTGTGGGCATGAGCAGCTAACAACACGACAGCTTTTTCTTTTTTTTCTTTTTTATTATTATAACAGGTTTAGTTGAACTTCCTGTAATTTCATAACACAGTCAGTAACACGGTTCACTAGCCTTTCCTTATAACAAGATATTAACATTAACATCAAACGCTCATCGTGGTGTTTGTTATTACACAGGAAGCCATGCCCAGGAAAACGTGTCTTGTTTCGAGAAGATGCCGGCACATGTTAACTTATCATCCCCTTCCCTTTTCCTGCCAGAAGCACGAGCTGTCCACATCTCAAAATATTCATTAACTTCAGCAAGTGAGTCACGGCAGAGTTGCAAGAGAAAAAAGGGAGCCTTATCCTGTTGTCTAATTACATACAAATCTGAGCAATTTTTTAAACAAGAATCAGCTGAACTTCATAGGATTCATCCCAGTCTGCATAAAGTCTCAAACAAATTACTGTCTCTCAGTGGAAATTTCTGCAGTCTGCACATTTAAAAAAACAAGTTTTCACTAAAGAAGACTGACACTCAGTGGGGAAAATAGAAGTGTCTGTCTAAATCGAAGCATGCAGACTGAGAGGTTGCGTTGCCTATTTTAGAATTCTTTACTTAGTATATAGTTTGAAAGGTGTGAACTCTGCAAACGGAAGCCGCCACACCAGACTGAGGCAGTGCTTTCTATGAATTAGAGATGTGTCTAAATAATTCAGGCGGTGACACAGGGGACTGACGGTAAATGCTTCCACGCGGAAGACTCAGAGAACCAACAAAGGAACCTTCCCCTGAGCCCATGCAAAATTCATTACACTGGCCTGTGCACGTGGACAAGAGCAAATAATCCCACATGAGGACCTGATGCAAATATTCAGGCTATCCAAAGTGGAAAGTTGAGCCTTAATTTCCATATGTAAAGAATGTAGGTTTGTCTTAAGGAAATTGTAAAGACAAGGTACTTGAAGTCAGTGGTAGCAGGTATTATTGTAAACCCATCAAAGAAATGCATTGTGTTATTGCTCTGTTGTCAGTTATACCGAGAATCCGTCCATCCTGCGGCAGGGCGAACATCTGCTATCTGTGCTGTACATGTGCTGCACAATTACACTTGTGTTAGATCACGTTAGAACCAGAACGAAAAAGCAGAAGTACTAAAATAATTGTATGTTTCTGGGACAAGATCAAAAGAGTAGACAGAGACAAGACTTTGGATCTGTTTTTGTCTACGTGTCCCAGTTTCAACTAATGTGATTTATTCTGCCCTCAGCATCGCAAGCATATTAACATATATTACCAAGAGGCTCACAAAACAAGTATCCTGAGGAGGAAAACACTTAAGTACCCTGAGTTGTGACTCAAATGGTTTAACTTTAAGGCAGCCAGGCTTAACCCTGGTTTAGATAAAGACGTTATCTAATCATGTTCAGATTTTCTCCACAGAACTTCCCTGTCCGCAGGCAGCCATAGATCTGCCCACCTGCTCGTGCTCTGCAGTGTTACTATATTCAATTCAATTACAATTCAATTTTTTTTATGTAGCACCAAATCACAACAGCAGTCACTTTAAGGGGCTTTATATTGTAAGGTAAAGGTAACGACCACCTTTGAGCTAATGAGGAAGAAATCTCCAGCAAAACCAGACTCAGAAAGACACAGACAGGACAGGACAAAATGTGTATAAACACAAATAAAGAGTGAAGAAGAAACACTCACAGTGTAACTAACAGAGGATTCAGGGTCATCAGATTCAGCCCTAACTATTATGCATTGCTTTATGCAACATGAAAAGGGTTTATTGATCATGTAAAGGGATGCCAGGCAGAGAGGTGGCTCTAGACCATCTTAAAGTGAGGAGAGCCTCCGTGTGGTTTGAGAGAAACGAGAAACACTTTGTCTCTGAGTTCTCCGGCACGAAACTGAGGCTGCGTTGTCATCTGATCCACGTCGTCACTGGAAAGCTCGCCCTCCTTTAACAGGCACCCTTAATTCCAACGTGCCACACCGCCTCGTGTAGGCGACGAGACATCTGTTGCCATGGTTTCCCCTTAGTGAACGCCAAGCAAATCAATATGGAGCCTCTGACATAATTGGATTGCATCCCACCGTGCAGGAGGGAAGATATGAAGGGTGTTGTTGTTGGTAGAGTCCTCGCTGTATTAAAACGAAGTCGTCTTCAGAGCATGGAATAAATTCGCTAAGGAAGTAATAGTAATGCTTTTCCATGATGTAACTCTTTAACCATCACATGTCCTGTGGTAATACAGACTGCATATCCTGCTGCATGTTAATTTCTATATCGAAACCATCATCGTTAATCATTTCCTTATATGTGAGCAATCAAACTATGTACTGCATTTTCGATTACATAGTTACTGAGTGACTGGGTGAATCTGTCACAGGACACGCAGACGTTGGATTGTGACATAATTGTTTTGGTGCACTGACTCACTGTTACTGTTGCTTGCCTCACTGTACAACTTTGTTATGTGCATCATCTAAACGCCTCGTATCTTAATGTAGCCACATGGCGACCACGTATGCTTAAAGAGACCGAGGTGTGTAATTGTGGTCGTGCTTACTAGTCACGTCCCCTCTCTGCAAAATCATTCGATCTCTTAGTGCAGAAGACCACACAGCTGGCACCTCAGTCATTTTGGTGACATGCGCGGGTTTCTGTACCAGAAAGAACAGCCGTGAAACACAGCTACTTTCCTACCACCCACTCCCCTATGAGGTTCTTGTCGTTTCTATTACAAGCACCCTTTTTGAGCGGCTCGGTGCCTCTCCCCTTACTTGCTCCCCTCTCCTCCTCTTTGGCCACAGCGTGCTTCTGAGTGAGTGTCTGTGTGAGCCAGCCCCGTCCTACCTCACAGTCAAACAGCAGGTGCAGCTGCCCGTCGATCCACTCCTCGATATCCAGCCTCTTCTGCAGGTCCTTGCGGTTGTATTTGACTGTCAGCTTGCCAAGTTTGCGGTGCGCCGGCTCCTCTGCTTTGTCTGTTGCCTGGAACATCACCCTGGACTGGGTGCTAGGGTCTGATGCCATGGCTGCCACGGCCTCAGGAGATCCGTGGAAACGCACCGAGCTGGAACACAGACAGACCTACAGGCACGCTGGACTTGCAGGCTCTGAATCCCCAGCTCTGTCTCTGCTTTTCTTTTAGTGATACGCTGCTCCCACACGTATCTCCTGTGTTTCCTGTTATCTTTGTGGAGTGCTCGTGCTCTCCCTTCTCCTTAGCACTGCTTCTGGTTCCCTGCTTGTCCTCACCCCGACCCCCCTTCTCTCTCTCTCTCTCTCTCTGTCCCTCTCTAAAGCTCACTGTCTTGCTCTCCTTCTCTCCTCCTCTTGCAACACCCACTGGCTGCACTATCAGTAGAATGGTAATGAGATATGGCTCCGAGCTTGCCTCTGCATGTGTGTATGTGCACACACTTTACAGGGTGTGTGTTTGCGTTTTGCTCTCTTTGTCTGTCTTATATCAGGAAGGGGTGGGTGGGGAAAGGTGGTTGGGGGGAGGCAGTGGGCATAGGTCAATTACAGCAATAAAAAGAGGAGAATGGGTGAAAGGGCAACTGCCTTCAATCAAGTTAGGATAATAACTCTGGGTGAAAATATCCCAGCATATCCTTTTGCACTTTTGATCTTTCCCCTCTGATCATTGCACGTCTTGCCAATCCTGTCATTACTGGCACACCACTCGTGTTCTTTTTTATTGTTTCCCCCCTCAGTAAAAGTACCTTAAGTATTTATAAGTTGACAGACTCAAATGGGTTTGCCATCCTTGATGCTTCTTAAGTTCACAAACACTTCTAACTATAGCTGGGTCCCCCCCAACCTGACAGGTGATCCAGGGTTCCTCTAGTATGGTAGCTGCTTAGTCCTTTATAATGGGTATTATCAGGTGTGCGTTTAATAAGCCTTGAAGTCCAATTGGCATCCTCAGTTACGCACAGGTAAATAATGGATGACGCAGCGGCAGCAGCAGTGTTTATGACTCTTTAGAAGTCAAACGACAAAAGTCTGAAAGCATCAGTGTTTCCAAAGTCAAACAGCAGCACTCCACCCCACAGGTCAAAAAAATTCATAGTAGTGGACACCTATGCCAGATTATTACAGCTGAGACAAGAGAGGCAACAGGCTGCAGAGTTTCCACAGATCGTATTACGATATGAATAATGGGGTTCAGCTTTTTTGGCTTTTGGCAGGGACTATCCATCAGGCATGCCTGCAAGTGTTCACCCACTGATGCACCGTCTGTTACAAACACTGAATTATTGAGTGCCTCGAGCAGCTCACCTTTCCAAGCAAACAAATTCATCCATCCCATCTTATGGCTACTTGGTTCTGCTCTATTGGGTTGTCTAAAAAAAGGCTAGGCCTTCTCACCTCAGGCCTATCAGGGTGACTCATTGTAGGTGACAGAAAAAGAAAGCAGGGCCAATAAATAAGCTTGACCTCAGCTCGTGTGACCCGTAGGGCTGAAGATGGGTCCTTTTAGGCAGCAGAGTTCACAGATAACCCCACTAACTTTGTTTTCTACAAGATAGTAATTTTCTGAGTGTTTTTGTCTTTCAACATTTCTAAACCAAATTATTTACATTGCATAATTTGATTATCAACTTCCTGTTGCTCCACACCTGGTTCATGCATTGCTTCCTGACTGGTCACATATTTTAATGAGTCACCAGCCTGAATCAGCTCAGTATTACTATGACAAAGAGAACTGGGGCTGCTGTGAATTTAAAAGATGGGTCCTTTTGTTTTGTTTTTTCATATTAGGGCTAGACGCATGTTTTGGTTTGTTTGTTTATTTTTTTACAGTAATTTTAGAAATAAACAATAAACTGCTCACCGCAGCCAGCTTGTTCAGCATTTGGTGGGGCCATACTGCCATCTTCTGGATTAAAGCTCATGAACATTTTAGGTCCGTGACAGTATAAAAAAATAGGGTAAGTAATTAGACACTGAAAGAGGAGCTTCACAGCCACAGAGACTGTTCAGCTTTTTCCATTTTGGAAGAATTCCTAATTTGCATCTATGGTAAAGACATCAGTTTCAAAAAAAAAAAAGGCTTGGAAATTGTGGTCAGCAGCTCACGTTTGATGTGCATTAGTGCAATATGTGAGGAGAAACAGAAGAGCAATCCTCCCCCTAGGTTGTCAGCAAAAACCTTTCAGTGACATTTACATAAAGGGAGATATTGTGTTGCAGTGCACAAACCCTATTACAATGATAAATGCACGTCTGTGGTACAAAAGCCACAGGCACTAGTCTAGAGATGCAGTGGGAAACGATATTAACCGATGAATCATTCCTCTCCATATTCTCACAACTGAGTGATTCATGTGTGGTGTAGGTAGGGCATGCTATCATCGTGTTATTTTGCGGGGAGAGGTGTTACTTCTACTTGTCTCCTCAGAGTGCATGGTCACTTCACTTTACAAAGTTCTCCCGATCACTTAAATCATGCGATTAAACGTTTCTATCCTGATGGCAGTGGTTTCTTCAGAGGTGGCAGTTCCCCCCATCAGGCAGAGGAGGTCACTAAATGGTTTTCATGAGTGTGAAAATGACACTCAAATGCTGTGACAGCTGCTATGCTCACCAGATCTCAACACAACGAGGTCTCCACAACTTTTCATAACTATCAAGAAAAAAAAATTAGGGTGATCTATCTATCTATCTATCTATCTATCTATCTATCTATCTATCTATCTATCTATCTATCTATCTATCTATCTATCTATCTA